CGCAAAAGGAGCTTGCCCTCGACTTTTCCTGATCCATTTTGAAAGGGGAGGGGGGTGTTCCGCTTTCTACCGGCACAAACCTTGCCCTTCGGGTGGTCTGCAGCGCGTGGCCCCAAGGCAAGGCAAGGCAAGAGAGAAGGACGACCTGCCCTGTTCCTGGGGTCACCGGAGGCTGCTGTGAGCATGCCCCCCCTCGCCGCTGCTTTTCATGGGCATTTGACGAGTCAGGACTCTCCCACTGTGCCAAAGTGACCCCCGCCCCCCAACTTCTCTTGCAAACCACGCCAGATATAGCAGCAGATCTCCAAGCTATTAGGGCTGGGAAGGATGGCAAGATAATTTCCCTGGGGGTCGGGGAGCAGACCTTTAGGCACCAGGTCTCCTATCCAGCGAGTTCAACGCGATCGATGAACTGTTGGGGGAAGGGAAGTGGGAGAGAAGCAACTCCTTAGTGCCACCCTCCAGGGTGCAACAGCTCCCTGATCCACATCCTGGGTGAATCCATTTCTTGACATGTGTCCAGTGAGGATAGCTGCGTATATGTTTCTCTATGTGCCCAGCACTCTTCCACCCAGCTGGCACCAAAAATACACGCTTTTCCTCTTTCCCTTCTCTTTCTTTTCCTGCATCCCCTGGCAAGAGAAGTGGAGGGGCCAAGTCTCCTTCTCTGTTTGCCGCTCTTCCCATGGCTGACAGGGGAAAAAGGTGCATCAGAGATAAGCTCCTTTGGTGCCTCTGATCCCACAGAGCAGTTCAACTCCCAGAATTTCCCCCAGGGAATTCTGGGAGTTGAAGTCCACACATCTTAAAGTTGCCAAGTTTGAAAAACACAGCCGTAGAGTGTTCGCTCAGGGGAGTCGGAGAACTGACAGCAGAAGATCCACGCTGGCAGAGAAGGCTTTCCCCGTCCCACCTCTCTCCTTAGTTTCATGTGAACAGAACCCCGTGTTCTGCTTCACTGCTAAGCAGAATAAGGGTCAGAAGTGCAGGCAGCCCAGTTTTACACTGACTTACTTTCCTTCCAGCTCCCATACTGGAGAACAGCACTTCAATGCTGTTGTGCAAAAGAGGCCTACGTTTGTTGGGCCAGTGACCGAGTATTGTTTTTCTTCTAGTTGTCCCACATAAGAGGAAATGTGATGGTATCCTAATATATTTTTCACCTCAAAAACAAGCCTGCATGTATATGTGTGCAGGCGTGTGATTCAAATCTACACCTTTGAATCTGCTTGTGGAAAATGTCAGGTGTTCATAAATTCAGAAATGGGCACATAAACTTTTCAGCACTGATATTTGAAATATAATCCTGAGAGCAGGTTCTCAGAGTGTATTAAATGTTTGGGGAGCCCGAGCTGAAAAGAAGCGTTAATACTTTTAAATAATACAGGTAGTCCTCATTTAGCAACCACAAATGGGACGGGCAACTTGGTTGTTAAGCAAAGTGGTTGCTAAGTGAAACCACCACTGTGCTTATGATCTTATTTCAGCTTTCCTTCACTTTACAGAGCTGCAAAGATCATAAAAGCGAAGATTGGTCATCAAGTTACTTTTTCATCACTGTCGTAACTTGAATGGTCGCTAGATGAGACAATTGCTAAATGAGGACTACCTGCAATTATCCCGAGTCCCACTAACAAGCCATTATTTACTCAAGCCAGCAGTGGCTCCTTGAGTTTACAGTCAGAGATCTCTTTGGGCTTTCCCTAGGGCTGAGTTAAGTGCTCCCCACCCACCCCTGATTCCACAGAAAACTATACTGGCCTGAAATGTGTTATCCCCACCACTGATGCCTCAATCACTGTGGTCCCATAACTTCTGTCCTAGGGAATGGATGACAAAGTCTAATAGATGTTCCACATCTTGAGGCTGCTCTTAGATGCTGTCAGAATAAAGGGGAAAACAGTATTTCAGCACTGGCACAGCTTATCTAACTCTGGGACTAGGGAAGAGGTGAAGGGAATGTTGTAGGGACCTGACAGAAAAAACAAGGTTGGAGGCCATACTTTGCTGTAGTTTAGTGCAAATGGGAAAAGGCCTTCAGCTGTAGAATTTCAGATCCTTTTTTTTATAACAAGACATCTGATATTCAGTCAGTCTGCAGATCATGTGCTCTAGTCTCTTCTCATGAAGTGGAGATCAAATTACATTTTTGCTTTTGTGTTCTCAAGTTTGACAATATTTTGTTTCTGAATTTGTCATGGCCTCACTTGGTTATATAAGTCATAATCAGCTAAGGGAACATATCTGCATTTATTATGAGCTCCTAGTTTGCAATTACTACATCCTTCCTCCATGAACCTAATTGTAGCATATACACAGTTGTCTTGTTTTACTTTCATAATACTCCCATAAGGGGAATTATTGGTTAAGAGTTATTGGTTACCTGAAGTATGTTACTGAGCATGGAATTTAATTCAGGCTTAAGCCTAAATGCAACAGTCTGTTCACTGAAATAAGCAAATCAGAATCTGAGCAGGCAGTAAAAAAAGTGCTTGGATCAATTTCCACTTGCTGGAAACCAAGATACACTGCTTGGTTCTTAAAGCTGAATCATAGGCACAGGGCATGTTGCACAGTGCTGACCTAATCCAGTGATAAACCAGCAGCTTCTGATGTAATATGGCCAAAGAGAAGTGTCTGAGAATGATACCCCACCTCCAGAGAATTGTACCTACACACACAGTGGGTGTGTTCCGGTCCATGCACATCCTGGCCATGATACGGGCTATGGGTAAAAGCTGTGCATTTACTAAAGCTAGGAATCACAGCTCTCATTCGGTTCCCAACGTTGGACGGCAAGTAAATATGTACCCTGAATCATTACGAACTGTGTAGCAGTCTGGCCTGCCTCTTCACCCATGTGAACATTATTGATGTGTGGAGAACATGAGTTCTTCCACAAACCTGCCACAAACCTTTGTATTAGGATATAGCTGAAGGCCAAATATACATAAGAGACATTCATGGCTTTATCACCCAGTTGTAAGCAAAGGAGTAGGAGGTGCAAAGTCCTCCATTACTTGACATTCTCTGAGGGAGCAAGGTAACTTAGTAGGCAGTGGCAGTAGTAAATAACATGGTTCAATATTACCTTGGTTTCTGGAGCCTCTGTCCCTCTGCTGTTGCTGAGATGTGAGCAGACAATCCTTACACTTCTTCAAACATAGCTTGGCAGGAGGAATTGGCGAAATGTGTTTGGGAACAAATTTGGGTGGTATACTGCCAGCATGTCCACGAGAGAATTCATGGTGGCTGTAATGTAACTCAACTAGCATTCATCCTTCCTTGGAAAGAAATCTGTCATGGGGGGGACTCCACTTTGTAAGCTGCTCTAGACTGTTCTAGACTGCTCTAGACAACTGGGAACAGAGGCGATAGAAGCAGGATAAAGATTGGCAGTGGGAATGTTTCATGCCATCTAGTTTTCCGCTGACTGCAGGGTGATAGACGCGATTTCAGCTCAGCAGTGGGAGAAAGTCTTCTGTTTCAAATCACTGCAGTCCCCTGACTTCCTTCCGAGGCGCTGTGTGACAAAGTCTAACAGCTTTTGCTGTCTTTTGATGGTATCAAAATAATGGGGGAAACAATACTTGAATACCAGTGTAGCTAAGGGCAGCAGCTTCAGCCTATCTCATTCATGGACTGGGGATGAGATGACGGGAATGTCATGGGGACTGGCAGAGGAAAGATGTGGCTACAACATAATTATGTGCAAGGGGGAAAGACATAAAGGTGGATGTTTGAGGATGGAATGGAGTGGGTCTAAATAGGAATCTAGTGGACAACTTCTGCTTTAAAAATATGCAAAAGAAATACAGCCAAGGAAGAATAATTGTGATGGCTACTAAGCCCTGGCTGCCAATTGCTTAACCCTAGTTTTAATTTAAAGTTATAGCTTGCTTTTTCTGTTCTCAAAGCAAGCAGAGTTAGAGATGAGTAAAATATAGCAGGATGGTAGAAGTTTAAAAACAAAATAATAATTGAGAAGGTGTCAAATCTTCATTCAAACATGACCCAGTCGCCACAGACTGAAGGAAATATCAAAGCTTTAATGGGATATAACCAGATGGATTTGGGAATGGCAGAATATGATGGATGGACACACTGCTATGCAAAGAGTCTTCCTTTGCACTTCACTGATCCTTCTGCTGGTGCAGGAGACGAGGGAGGTTTGGGGGAGGGAGATCAGCCCAGCATGTATTGCCACTTCAGGGTGGTGCAGTGACATCTCCCCATGCCTGGTCAGTGTCCTTA